GACTTGACTCATATTTAGGCATTGTTGGGTGATCCAACTGATAATTTGGCTAATAGATAACTTGATACATTATAAGTTAATTTTTTTATAATAGCTAATAAGAAAAAAAAAATAGTTGAAAATTTACATTGTACAATAACTTAATTGAAAACAGAGGACTAGGACTGATTGGTTGGACCGGGAACTAATCTATTGACCGGTCCACTTTGTTGGAAAGAACCGATTGTCAGTGAACTGATTGACGGCCTGTTGAACGGAACAAAACCGGTCAATCACACGGTTGGACTAGTCCAATTTACTTTTTAAAATATAAATTTTGATATACTTATAAGTATATCTAGTATGCATAAAAATGTCAAATATAATAAATATGTATGAACTATTTATCAGTTCAGTTAAACATTTGAGCGTTTTAAACTATCTAATATTTGATTAATAAATTTTATATGTGTGAATTTATTACATAAGATATTATATATATATTTAAAAATATTAATAAATTAAACACCTATTCGGCCTGTTCAAACATTAGTCCGACCAATAAACTATTGAACTAGCAGCTCAACCTGCTCAATAATTGGTCCAATTTTGAAACTTTGATTAAAAGAAAGAAAGACAAACTCAGCCGCATTGACATATTAACCAATGAACATGAAAAATATGAGGAAAAAACTTAATACTGCCAACCAAAATTCACAGGAGCCTAAAACAATGCTACACGAATTAACGAATGTAAGCCGACCCTCACAATCATCGTTCACAATCGTATGTACAGCACCGAGGTTTCTCTTCAACTCTGAACAAATTAACACTACAATTGTGCCAAACTCCTGAGAGACTTGGAGTAGGCCTAGTCGCTCTCCCGCTCCTCAATCTGTTCAGCGGCGGCCTCTCGGACCCGTAAGGACGGCTCGCGCATAGAGCGGCTCCGGCTACTAGCTCGGCGGATTAACCGGGCGGCAACGCGGAGGCTGGGAGGGCGCCGGACGAGGCGCGGGCGAGGAACATGGTCCCCTAGTAATGGCGTCGGGTCGACGGCGGGGCTGATGGAAGGCATCGACTCGCCGGCGGTCGGACGTGGACCAATGTGCGGGTGTATTTTTGCTGGGGCTTTGATCGGACGACCTGAGTTGCGGGGATCAGGAAATTGGGCGAGAGAGAGTTTAGGGTAGTTGGATGAGGTGTTGGTTTTGTTTGTTTAATAATAAAAGTTATAAAACGTGTAACACGTGACACGTGAGGGGTTAGGCAAATTGGGTTTATTAGTAATCATTTGCGTGGAATAGAAGAATGAGCAAGACAAAAATATAAAAAAAAAATACAAATCAAAGTTATTCTGTAAAACCTTAATAATTAATAAAATAGTTTTAAATATTATTAAATACTTATTTAGATACAACATTCTTGGTTTTCTTATCATCTAAATTTCTATTACCACATGTCATTATCTTCAAACATTTTGATCTGTGACTCTAGAAAGAGCCACTTACAAGTGCTCATGACGGAAAATACAGTTTTTAGTACTAATTTTACGTGTGATAGAGGCAGGACTCGACATGATTGTGATAGCATATGAAACAATGACACGAAATTGTGCGCCGAACTTCAACAGTACCCTTAAATCAGAAGGTATGATTGTGAGCCTATAAATAAGAACGTTATTCCCAGCTTTCAAAACCAGTTAAAATTATCCATTCGATGACATAATTGTTTAGCTTAGTAATAACCAAATGTGTACCGTTGCACAACCCCCATCGAATGATCAATGTTCGTCAACAATATCGTTGGATTGTCAACCTTGAGTGCAAATTACGATTCATAAGTCCCGTGCACTTAATGTACATGCATAATTTATTTTTATTACTTTTTGTATAGTTATAAGATAAAAATAAGAATTTAAAAAATTATAAAACTAATTGTCTGATTCAACAATTGACTCAGTGATTCGGCTAGTAGACCGTTGACCAGATGACCATGAATCCACCCCGAATCAATCACTAGTCTAAGTTTTAAACTTATGATGTTAGGGCGATTAGATATGTCTTC